CTGTGACCTAATGCTGGGAGGGTGGGCAGGGCAAGGGCAGATGTGTGTGGAAGGGTGCACGACAGACATTTAGAACCACTCCAAGGCAGTGACAGAAAGAAAAGGGCAACATTCGCCTGGATAAAGAGAGTAGGCGAGCATCCCCAGGACCAGCAACTATAAAATAAAGTGAGATGTTCTATGTACTTGGTCCGTAAAAGAAACTTTGTTTTTTTGAAGTCAAGTGGAATCTAGTATTAGGTTAACAACCCGGTGACCACTAAAGAGGACGATACTGTTGTTATCCTCAACAGGTTTCCTAGGATCTTGACGTTGTCCCTGTGGAGCCAGAGGGTGACCAATGAATAAAACAGTGACTGGCTGAGCAAGTTGCCCCAGGCCAGATGTTTAGATGTGTATTTTCCATGGGGAAGGAAGAAAGAAAAGGGTGGGAAGGAGAAAAAGAGGGAAAGACAGCGCCTGAAAGATGAATGGAGCTCCTACCATTGCTCCCTAATGCTGATTTGATCTAGGTCAGTGATTCCCAAATCACTGACAATACATTCGGCTTCTCTCACAAGCTCCTCAGTGATGCTAATAGACCACACTGAGAAGCCCAAGTCTCCTACTGTCTGTAGAGAGCTGGAAATGTCTCCTAGGGCTGTCTTCCCGCCAGCATTCTAAAAAACCAAAGTTAGCAGCAGAAGAGGAGCTGCTGAGCTTGGGCCAGGAGGATTGGAACTCACTGGCAATCAGAATTTCCTTTAGAATTCCCATCGCTTTAGTGTAATGCTAACACACACACACACACACACACACACACGCACGCACGCACGCACGCATGCAGGCACTCAAGTAACACACAGGGCCACCTCGTGAAAGTCTGTTAAAACAGTTTTCCAACTGCTGTCTCTTTTTAGAGTGATCTTTTCAGGGAGCCATAACCCATCTGGTCCCACAAGAGACGTAGTCTCCTGGGATGCTCCTGGCTCTTGACCTCTGCTGTCTTCCTAGTTTGCCGACGCTGACCAGCTCAGCACCAAGAATTGAGAGCTACCCTTGACCTACGCTGTCGCTGTCGCCTAGGGGTTGACCTGACTCTTTCCATCCAGGGAAACTGCAGAAGATCCGCTGCCCTGGGACACTGGGAGGACAAAGTCCTCCATGTCACCACGCACCTTGGGAAGCTTTTGCTGCACGGGGCTTGAAATGCAGAATTAATTCTTGCGGGTCTTGCCCGGTACTTTCAGGAGCCGTCCCACTGTTCCACAGTTTCTACGCCCTCCTCCTACTCTGACCGGACTTCCAGACCCGGGGTCATCTGTAGTCTAGTAGGCAGGACAGCACTGGGCCGCTCTCACTCTGGTGACAGGTCTCTGGGATGCCTCGCTCCAGCTCCGCACTTGACAATCCAAACACAGACTGAGACAGAGCCCTGGGTGAGTCCCCTCCTCCCTCCCCCACCCCCACGCTTGATCATGAAGTTTTCCCAGAGATTCCATGTTCAGCCTTCCTAAATTGCTTCCCCTTCCGTGTGACTTGGTGTCCCCCAAGGTGGTAGCCAGAAGTTTGTATGCTGCAGACTCCAGTGGGGTGAAGTTGAGTGAGGGATGCGGACAGAAGGAGGGTGCCCTTGGGTACAGTAGGCACTCCTCACCTCTTTTTAGTAGGTATGGTCCAATAAAGGGCATCTGGGGCTGGTCAACCAAGCCTGACTTGGGACAGCCAGAGCGAGGATCCATGGCTGGGGTGTCAGTCTAGCCGCCTGCTGTGCACACTACTTTCCGTCTTCTGTGAAGGGGCTCGGGTTCAAGTCAAGGTGAGCAAGGGGTGAGCGAGATCGGTGGAGGCCACACGCTCACACACTGGAGCCCACTCCACGAAGTGTTCGACCTATGCCTCCAGGGGGCGCTGCGGCCCTTCTAGCGAACTGCAGAGCTGGAGTCCGCAGCGGGGCTTTCCTACCTTGTTCCGTCCGAGAGCCCGAGACCAGTCACACTTCCTTTGAAGATGAAATTCTGAATCCTGGCACCTACCTCCTCACCCTCAACTCCTCCGCGTCTAAGGTGTGCCAGCCTCTTTGCTCTCCTCGCCCCCGCACTTCTCTGTGTCTGGAGAGCATGCACTGACTGCTGCAAAACCCAACAAAAAGTCTCCTCTCCGCGGAGTTTGGGGAAAGCTAGGGACTGGGAAGCCGGCCCTCAGAGGGACTCTAGCAAAAAAGGATAAGCTTTCCGTAATTTGATTTTTTAAAGCGGTACAGGTTATTCAGAATGTTCGCAGCGTGCAGTCAACTCCACGGAGTCTGTGTGTGACACCTGTTGGCTCCACCCGCAGACTCCTGGGTGGGCTGGGGGCAGTACACCACTGCCGCTTCCAGCTCCTCCGAGTTTCCTGCGCTAGGCCTCGAAGCTTCCTCCCACAACGTAAACGCTGCTGTTGGGTTTGGGGCTGCAACCACCCAGCACTCTCCTGATCAGTGTGTTAGCCATTTCCCCGCCAGCGTCCCTGGTGTCGAAAGCCCAGCGCCCCGAGGACAACAGCTGACCCGATTCGCGAGAATTTCCAAGTTAACAGGCAGCTGAGCTCCGGAGGGAGCTGGGGCAGTTCCGCGGAGACTTAGACCTGGGGGCGCTGCTGGCCTGCGACTGACTCCGGGACCTCGGCTTCTGCACGCCAGGACCCCACAGCTCGTTGGTGGCCGGGTGGGCCAGTTTTTCTGTAACCGGCGTTTTGCAGGTCGAGTTGGTGAGCGACTCATGGGCGGGCTCTCTCGATGAGTGTGCCCTAAATCCTAGATGCCCGCCAGCCAGCACTTGCCCCCCCCCGCGTCTGAGCACCCCGAAGTTCCGTTGAAGGTTCCAGGTGAGCGCCTAGCAGCCTGGAGGGGTGCGGCGGTGCTGAGTCGCGCTCGGCTGCAGGCTCGGCAGGTTGCACCTGCCCATCCGGGTCGCGGGGCTCGCAGGCCGCCGGGGCTCTCCAGGTAGCGCTGCTCGGCTCAAAGGTGCGAGTTCTCGGACTCCTCCCTACCTTTCAAGCCTCCTCAGTGCTGGGGCTAACGGCCTAGCGTTCTTACGAGGCTGAGGTGCACGAGGTAAACGTGTTTACAGTAACACCCTAGCTCCGGAGGTTTTGGGGGAAGGGGGTACAGCTAGTGGGAAGTTGGGCATTGCGTCTACCCCGGGGGGGGGGGGGAAAGCGGGCAGTTCGGTACCCAATACGCCAGGGCGTGAAGGTGCGAAGCCTGCTGCTGGAGAGGTTGCTCCTCTTTAGTGAAAAGGAGCCAGGAAGCACAGTCTCCGGTCACCACCGGGTGCTTAAATATCCTGGAGATCTGAATGAAGGGAAAGCTCCCTCCACTTCTCCAAATTGAGAAAGGCTGTGGAAGGAATGAGGCGGTTGGGGAGAGGGAACCGCAGGCATCCTGGGAGCTGAGGCTCAGGACCAGGCGCTGAAATGAAAGCACCCTATAGAACCCACTCGGAAAGGGGTTTTTTAAACCTCCGAACTCTCCAAAGCGACCTCCTACGTCCATGGTGCTCATCAAATTTATTCTAAAGTAGTCAAGTCCTGCAGGACACCGAACTCGGAGTCTCTCTCTGTTATCCTTGCGAACTTAAAACTAGAAAGCAGGGGGAAAGAGAACCTGCCGCTCCTGAATTATGTTTTACCAAAGAAACGAAAATTTATATTCACGTCGACAAAAATAAAATAAAAAGGCTTTTACCTTCTTACAAGGCGGTTTGCATAGCGCCTGCCTGCCTTCTCTGCATAGCCTTGGACGGCTTTTAGCGTTCTGCTCACATCTACCGCTTCCCCACAAAGTCCTTTGAGAAGGGTGACCGAAAAGCATCTTTTAGCGGAACGACTTTGAATTGCACAATTTCTTGAAAAGATCTATGCTCCTCCAAGTACCTACTAACGCAAGTGCCCTTCCGTGATTCGTTTTGGGACCAAGGATGGTTTGCTCAGTTTTGTTCAGGCGCATCGCGTCTGAAAGGAAGCTGCTTGCTGTGGATCCTGTCATTCCCTGTCACCCTGTTCCAGAGGGTCTGGAATTCTTTCTCCTTTACACATTCACAATGTAACTAAACCTTTAGGGGTGCTAGGAAGCCTAACAGTTCACGTCAAATTTGATTAGTTTTCCTGGCGGCTGAACAATGAACTCAATTTTTGCTGAAAATGAAGATAATGCGTGTTTTGAGACGTTGGAATAGTATTTTCCTAAAATTTAAAAATGATTGTTCCTCACCCATTCCAGATGGTCTCTTTATTGTTTGCCAATGGATCGCAGATGCCCACAACTTTAACCAAGTTGGTTAGCTGCTTATGAAATGTACGTTAGCTGATTAAAGCTTAGATATTGGAAGAAATTTCTTCTGGAACATTCCGCATGTCTTGGCACTAATTATGAAATTAGTCAATTGTCACTTCCATAAACAAACTTCGTTTTGAAAACAGCAGAGGAAAACAGAAAACAGACTACACATATAGCCATAATTGACCAAAAGTATGGATGGAACTATTTTACACTGGGGGAAGGGCAGGACACGCTAGAAAACAAAATGTAAAGCTGACTGTTTTGGCCCTTTGAAACAGATGGTCACATAAACGTGTTAAGACGTGGAAATGAAGCCGGCCAGCTAACGAAGCAAAAGTACAAAATGCAAAGTGCCCTTTGGACTTCTCTGAGGACTCTGAAAAGCAAAGAACCAGAAGTTGAGCTTCCAACAACAGAGTGAGGAAAAGTGTCGTCCTAAGAGAGAGGACGGGCGTTGTCTTTGTGTGTGAGATTTGAATTGAGTCACCTTGGGCTCTGAGTCTGGGTTTACTGGGAAACCTCAAGGAAACCTGCGCCTTTAAGACTCAGTTGCTATCCAAACACAAGTAAACAGAGTGGACCATTAGCGGGCGCCGGGCGTGGAGGCGGAGCCTGGATGCTGCGGCCCGCTCCGTTGCAGAACGCCCGCCGGGAGGGGAGGCGGGGCCGCTACTAAAGCCTTGGACTCCAGGCCTGGGGCAGCCTGGGGCGGGACGCGGGCTAGGAAGGAGCTCGGTGCGCTGGCTGCCGGAGGGTGATGGCCCTGCAGGGCAGCGGGTTCCGACTTTACCCGCCGTCAGCGGCGAGAAAGTGGCCCAGAGACCGCGGTCTGGGAGAGCGCTGAGCACCCATCCAGAGCACGCTCGCTCTTTACTCATTCCGCTCCCACGGACTGAGGAAGACCACGATTCGCTCTCGCTTTCGCTCCCCCAGATCATGAGCTCAGTTCCCGGGACTGCGCGCCGAAAAAGAAGTTCGCCCAACTTGGACTTTATGACCTTTCCAAGCTGTGCGCCCTGCTGCCCGGACCTAGTCTGAACCGCGCTGCTGCCAGGCAGACCTCCGCGCTGGCGGTGAGTGTCTCCGGGACCCGGTTGTGGTTGTCCTAGGAAGGAAGGGATGTGGGGGTTCAAGGGCGCCCAGGTTCTGTCTGGAGTGCCACGAGTTCGGAGAATGAAAAACTCTCCCGTGGACCCCAGTCCCGGGCCTCATGTTCTGGCTTCCTCCGGTCCCCCGCACGCGACTCTCGACTAAACACATCCAGTCGAACTTTTGTGTGCTGCCGCTTAGTTTGGTTTTGGTAGATTTACGCCTTCGGCAAGATTTATAAAAAGGCCGATCGTCGTGTTTTGGAGTCAAACCTTATCAACCGAGGCGTTTTTCCCCTGCTCTAGAAAGCCCGGACCCACGCGTCCTACCACAACCCCGGCTCGCAGCACAGAAGGGCCGGAACACGCGGTGCGGTCAAACCAGCGACTCCAGAGGGGTCCAGTCATAGGTGATTTTTTTCCCCCAAGCGTGTGCTGGCCTCTTGCTTTTCGCTCCACTGCCGCCTTTGCCGAGAGGGCAGCAGGCAAGCTCTCCTGGGGCTAGGACACTTGGGTTGTAGAAATAGCCGTGAAAGAAGCCGCGGTTGTAGCAAGAAGGGCGGGCGAGGTGTTTGTGGAGGCAGTAGCACAGAATCCGTCTGCCCACCTGTGAACAGAGAACAAAAGAGCGCTGACTGCTCCCGAAGTGAAACTGGGTGCAGACAGCTAACTGCAGCTGACTCCACAAACTGTAGCCTTGAACAGAACAGGAAAATGACACAGGGGGAGAGAGGGAGCGGAGACAAACCCAGGTTATGCGGAAGGCATCCTAATTTAATTAATTCCTTGGGAGTGCAGAGGCTCGGGGAAGGGGCAGGAACTTCGTGGCTGCCCCCACCACCACCTGATCAAGTCCTTCCCCCCTCCCATCACGATTTTGGATCTCTTTCTACCAAGGTTCTCTGATTTATACACAATCCTGTTGCGTCCGAACTGAAATTCAGCGAGCGCATTCACCGTCCGTCATTTCACTCAGAAATCAACACACGGGGTTTAGCGGATGACCCTGAACTGTATTACTTTTAGATAATTCAATGTAACACGACTATTACCCAACGTTGAAGAGTCTTTGACAAATTACCAGAGATCCTGTGTTGTCCGGTGTTTTGAAAGCTTCACCAAAATGAAATCAGTTTGTTCAGTTCTCCCTTGCTGACAGCCAGTGAAACTGAACTTTACGAAGTGTTCAACCTGCCCGGGAATTCCATTGAAAACTGATGGGAGAAATGTAGCCTCATCTCCATTGAACCATTTGTGACTTTTCATGATTTAAGGTTCTCTCCTTGCAAAATTAAAAGTAACCAGTGGTTGGAGCCAGGCTGGTGGAGGAATGACAGCGGCAGAGGGCCCGCATTTAGTGCCTGAAATGGAGTGTGCACTTAACCCCAACAAAACGAAAGTACCTTAGATCTCTGCGATGGTTTGACATACATTGCAAGCAACTAAACAGGAATATGGGAACCTAAACTCCCCAGCTACTTATGGTAGCGACGTTTGGTAGGTGTTTGTAAAAGGGTTTCAGAGGGCCTACTGGCTTGCTCTTCCTTTGCAAATTAAAGCTTCCTTATGTAGTATGAAGTGGCAATTTGGGACCAACAGAAATGATAAAAGCCTTGTTTCTGCAGTTGAAGTTATTGGGAAGCGGAGAGTGACACACAAGTCTCTGTAGACAGAATTAAGAGTGTGACCTTTACGACAAAGTTCACTTAGAGCATTTAGAATTTAAAGAAATCATAAATATTAATTGTCAACCAGCACTCCTTCCTAGCCCTGCTCAGTCTATGCTGAGAATCATGCATGGCCTCTTTATTTATTTCTAAGAAATCTAGTCTGGGAATACACCCAAATAATAATTTCGGTTTCCTCTCTATTCAGGAGAGAGGCTGCTTTTCAACACTAGGGGGGATAATCCTCATTACCCATGGAGAAAGAAAATAAAGATGAAATTTATTGTTTTTAATTGAAGAGAAAATAATCAGTGATGTTAGCAGAGTCTTCCTCCCCCACCCCTACCCCACACATAGGAGAGGGTGTGAGGGTTGCGGCTGAACAGAAGTGAACACTGGTTTGTGCGGTGGGAAAGTCTATCACTAATGGGAGTTTACAGTTTCGGTTGAATGGTCTGACTGAGACCCTCTGACTGTTACACACCTCTCATTAACTCCCAGCCTGAACTCCCAGACCGCATACCACCAGGCAGAAGCAGTTCATTAATAAATCTCTTGTCTCCAGACTGTTCCAAACAGCGGAGGAAGGTGGGGGTCCACGGAAGCAGCTAGTTCCAGTCTTGCCAGAACACTCTGTCATTAGCGCAGCCCCTAAACTGCTGGCAGATACAGTTCCAAGCACCACTTCATAAACGCTCTGGGGAAGAAAAGTCCGCAGCAGTAGGGCTTAGGAGCGCAGGGAGAGCTGGGCAGGTCCCTTCACCCTCCTGCCCAGCCCCAAACCTCAGGTGTTGGGGGTTAGCGTTTGGGGCTTGCTTCCTTGCTTGCTCCAAACCCTGTTCCTGGGAGGCCACCCTCGGTTGTGGGACCCTGTGGGTCCCCTGTGAACGCAGGTGAGGCACTCCAGGAGAACTGAGCTGCCCAGTGTGAACGCCAGCAGGCCACACACACACCAGGACTCGCAGAACTCAAAGATCCCCTGCCGCTCTTCCTTGGCCTCCTCCAGAGCACTCTCCCTACCCCCGCCCCCGCCTCCTGAGGGTGCCAGGTCAGGAAGCAGCCCCCTTCTTCTGAGAGTCTGGCGCTCAGTCTGGGAAAAGGGGTTCGGGCCTCAGAAACATTCTGTGTCCTCACCCCAACCAGGCTGGAGTCTGAACCATCTGGAAGGGATCTTGGTAGGGGGTGGGAGGCGAGGCAGCCCCTGAGGAGGAGAAGGGGTGAGTCCAGGCCGAACCCAGCCCCCCGAGGTGTCACTTTTCTTTCCTGCGGGCCCGTCACTGCTGATAAATGGGACTAAGGCAGAGGAAGGAAAAAGAAAGCCAGCGAGGTCAGCGCGGGGCGAGGCCGAGTTCTGCTAGGGCCGGGTAGGACGAAATGCCTCGGGTAAGCGCGGGAGAGGCGACCTGAGTGGGGCACAGCGTGGGGGAGAATCCACGCAGGTGGATCGAACCAGGCCTTCGGGGCCGGATCGGAGCCACGACCTACGGTGTCCCAGGGAGCTGGCACTCTTCTCCGAGCGACAGCAGCTGACTCTCAGGCCTCTGGGCCTTGATCCCTCAGCCCTCCTGATTTCCTCTCCTAAGAGGATGCGGGTGACAAGGGTCCAAGTCCTCCGTCCGCCTTTCCCCTGGCGGTGTCCCCTCTCCCGAAATCCGATCTTCCTACCACCCGCTCGCCAGAGGGGCCACTTGCTGCCAGGGCTCTGGTGTCTCGACGTCTCGAGGTCCTGGAGACCTAGGAGAAGGGAACTTAGAAGACATAACGCGCGCGGTCGCCCCAGGACTCATGGGGCTAGATAATAATCATGGTGTCTCCCTCTCTCCCCTGGACATTTTTAGGGCTCCCTCTGCGTGCTGCTGTTTCTTTTTCCTTTCTCTTACGCCCGCCGGCCTCTGAGACCTGGAAGAAGGGGGCAGCTTCCTGCACCCCTCCGGAGCCGTCAGGAAGATGGGGAGCAAGGCCCTGCCAGCGCCCATCCCGCTTCACCCATCGCTGCAGCTCACCAATTACTCCTTCCTGCAGGCAGTGAACACCTTCCCCGCCGCGGTGGATCACCTTCAGGGCCTGTATGGGCTCAGCGCTGTGCAGACTATGCACATGAACCACTGGACGCTGGGGTACCCCAACATGCACGAGATCACGCGCTCCACCATCACGGATATGGCCGCTGTGCAGGGCCTCATGGACGCTCGCTTCCCCTTCCCCGCACTGCCCTTCGCCACTCACCTGTTCCACCCTAAGCAGGGAGCCATTGCCCACGTCCTTCCGGCCCTACACAAAGACCGGCCCCGTTTTGACTTTGCCAACTTGGCGGTGGCGGCCACACAAGAAGATCCCCCTAAAATGGGAGACCTGAGCAAGCTGAGCCCCGGGCTGGGCAGCCCCATCTCGGGCCTCAGTAAACTGACTCCGGACAGAAAACCCTCCCGAGGGAGATTGCCCTCCAAAACGAAAAAGGAGTTTATCTGCAAGTTTTGCGGCAGACACTTTACCAAATCCTACAATTTGCTCATTCACGAGAGGACCCACACGGACGAGAGGCCGTACACGTGTGACATCTGCCACAAGGCATTTCGAAGGCAAGATCACCTTCGGGATCACAGGTGAGACCGGGAACTACGGGAAGGTGAATTTGCCCAGGAAATGTTCTCGTGGACATTCCAAGTGTCACTAAAATCCAAATCCTCCCAAAGCTGGCTTCGGTGACCTCCACCCCCCAGCCTGCTGCGGTCGCTGATTCTTCCTCGGTCCTTGAGCAAGAAAAATCTGGTAGCTTGGCCTTGGCCTAGGAGCCAGTAATTCTATTTCCTCTGAGTCTGCCTCGGTACTGAGTGAGGGGTGAAAAGGCCTCGGGACCCCGGAGTTCTTCCCAGTTGGCGGTAGAAGGGTGCAGGTTTTGGCTGCTGTGGAGTCGTTTCCGGAGAATCTGTTGAGTCCTCCCCCTACCTCCCTGAGTACCCTAGGACGGTCCTCAGAGTTTCTTATTCTTTGATGGGGTCTTGAGGTCACCGTCTTTAGCAACAGCTGCAGCCATCCTCACGTCCTGGATTAGTAAAGGACAGCGGGTTAAAATACTTCCCATGGTAGAGATGTGGAGGTTTCGCCGACATTTATTTGTGTCTTCTAAGGTGGGACTTCGTGTCGGTCCTCGAGGCTGTGAAGTGATTCGCACAATCGGCACCCCTGCACCCACCCAATCTTTTCTTTAGTCTTGGTTTGACCAGGTTAAATCCCGGGGTAAAGCCTGGAGGCCTAGAATGGCTCTCGGAGCAGCATTTCGAACGAACTCCAGAAATACGCCAGAGAGGGCGGTCAAGAGAGGGCGGTCAAGTGGAGATAAAGCCAGACCGCCCGTGAATGTTTCCAAGAATCTGTTAGTTGAGGTTAACTATAAACAGAATCTCACAGAAAGTCTAAAAACAACATAAATAATAGGCATTCTGCTTCCTTTGCCGTCTCAAAATTTCGTTGGAATAATTGTGGAAAGCAAATCCTAAACCACGGGGATGATCATTTCAATGAAACCTTGTATTGATTTTCAGGTATATCCATTCCAAAGAAAAGCCCTTCAAATGTCAGGAGTGTGGGAAAGGATTTTGCCAGTCTAGAACTCTCGCAGTTCACAAAACTTTACATATGCAGGTAAGTTCATTTCCTTCCTTTAAAAGAATGGTTCGTTTTTATCATTACGGCTTTACAAAAAGTGTCCAAGGCAGGGTCTGTTTCTTAAAACTCTTTTTAGATTAGCTTTCTAGTGGGGGAACAACACTTGTTTTTTAAAATATAAAATTAGTATTACATAACAAAGAATTTTTCTTAACGGACAGGCCAGCTGATTTAAAATAAGTCCTAATGTTAGGTTTATACACTTTTTTCATCCCATCTGCTATGCGTTTAAAACTTCCGTGTTGGGGAGGAAATAAAGGTAATTTTGACAATGGAGCCATGGTGAAATCCCATGCTCTCTTTCCCAGGGGCCTCGTAATTTGTAGCTTTAGGACGTTGAGGAATAGTTTAATTTTCCAGCAAACAGGAGCTTCATTCCCCGGGAGAATGCAATTCCTTAGGAGCGGAGTAGGTCCTCCCCCCCCCCTTTCCTGCCCTTGACGTGGCGATGAAATACTGGGCCCACCGAGGTGGTCTTATCAGTGAGATCTGGCCTCTGCGGGCGCCTGCCCGTGTGTTTCCCGATTGGCGGATTAGGAGCCCAGATCTGTCCCTGCAGGTCCCCTCTTTTGTTGTCGCGCGCTTGTTATGTTAAAGCTTGATGCTGAGGAGACAGAAACTGTTGAGGTGGGTGCCCGTGGTGGTGTGAAGGATTAATCCTTTGCCTTGCTTCACATCTGAACAGGAATCTCCACACAAATGCCCCACATGTGGAAGAACCTTTAATCAGAGAAGTAATCTGAAAACTCACCTTCTCACCCATACAGACATCAAGCCCCACAGCTGCGAGCGGTGCGGCAAAGTGTTCAGGCGAAACTGTGATCTGCGGCGGCACAGCCTGACTCACACCCCGCGGCAGAACTTCTAGCGAAGCCCAGGATCCGTCCTGTGCGGCCGCGGCTCCCTCCCCCAGATCCTTCTCCTCCCACCCGAGGGGCCCACCCCACCCCCACCCCCACTGACCCCAGCTCTTCCCAGGCTGTTGCCGCACCTGCAGCTCCAGCGCCTTAACTGTTCTTCCGGAGGACTGAGAACTCTCTAGAAAGTCACCCCCCTTGCAACCAGCATATAATAGATCCTTGTAGATATTCACGGCTCATTTTAGAGCTCTGTACATAATGTCGTGGGTCTTCGTCCTGTTTTTGTTTGTTTTTGTATCTTGTTGGATGCACCTAGACATGGAAAATGGAAACCAAATTTATCTTTAAAGACTGTATTTTCAAAATAAAACTTTTCTTGTTTCAATGCTTTCTGAGATGTGTCTGTATGCTGCTAGTCAACTTCTGTTTTCCCGGTGGGCTCCAGAAGAGCGGGCAACCCCTCTTGGGGTTGGGAAGGGTGCTCTTTATTCCTAAGTTTTAAAAACAGGACTTCCAGTTCTCTTAATAAAATTTGAGCATTTCCCTTTTAGTGCTGTGGCATTTTGGAATGGGATCATCGTGCCTGGTCTCTTTCTTTCAAATATATAAAATTGAATAACCTTGGGGTCTTAGTCTTCTTGTTTATTCTAGTCTCTGTGTTTATTAAGTTTATTCCTTCAGGTAAGTATACTACAGTAACCATTGTTGATAACACACTGTTCGTGTTATACCTTTGGAAGGCCCTGATGGCAAGAAGCGTACAACTAGAGAAGAGAGAGGCGCTCCGTGTTCTGGAAGTCCTTGACCTGTAGTCGAAGTTTATGGTGGGCAACTGCTCCTACTATTAGACTTTGAACACTGTGATTTCTCACTATAAACACAGACTTTATCCTGCCTTCAGGGGATGAGCATAAAATCAGTCCTCCCGCGGAACAGGAAGATGGGAGGATAGGAGGATGGGGGAAGAGGAGAAAGGAGAAACCACTTAGTTGTGTTTGCACACAATATTTCTTTCCAAGGGTGGAGATCAATTCTGTCAGAAGGTTAGGATTTCTCCACAAAGCAAAGTGAGTGAAGTCACTGACCAAGTTCTGCCCTTGGGAAAATGTCAAATGTACGCTATTCTTTGTAGAGAGCTTGCAGTAGATTTGTGATAGCCTTCTAAAGCGTGTCAATGGTTCCCAAGAGGTCCTGGAGCATGGGATACCAGGACAGAGGCAGTCCTGAAGTCCCTAGGATTGGGGTGGAGGGAGTCAGCAGGAAGGTGCCAAAGAAAGGAGAATAACTTCATTAAAGAACATCCCTGGAACCGGTGGCCCAGTGGCCCAGTAGGCATTCACAAATAGTTTAATACTGAATAATAGGCTGAATTAGGCCCTCTCAGATTTCTTTTAAGAACTGTATTATTTGTGCAAGGATGACTTGTTTAACCTTCAGGGGATATCAAGCAACAAGTCCTTTGCATGATAGCTTAGGATGGGAATTTGAAGATAAGATTTGAAATTTCTCACTAGTGTGTGTTTGATATAATTTCCCAGGGGGTTTCAACACCTTTTAGATTCATCTGTTTCCCTGCTCTCAAGAGAGCTGGATAAAAGTCATGTCTCAGAGGTTCAGTTCTCTACAAGAGTCTTCTCTGCATATGTATGGAACACAGCACAAATCATCCCCAGAAAGAAGACAGTTCAGAGTCTTCACTAGGAAGGGTCAGGGAAGAAGTGGTGTGTGTTTAAAGGAATTAAATGTCTGTTTATTTTCTTCTGTTTGTACAGAATTAACTCTGTGACCTCCCCTAACCCTGCTCTCAAGCTTCTGCCTGCCTTGACTTGGAAGATCTGAATACTTCAGGGCAGGATTAGCATCGACTGTCCCTAGAGACACCCCCCCCCCGCCCCATCTTTCAGGCTTTTTCCATGTGGTCAGACTCACAACCCCACACGCCCCTACATACTACATGTGTCCCAGTTCCACTGCACAGAGGTCAAACGGATTAGAAAAGCATGACCCTTGCCCACTGCCAACCAGTAGGCACATCCTGGAGGTCCCTACCACAGATGTGTAGATTCCTTTCACTCTAGTTGGTAAATTAAGGCTCCTAAGTGAAAGCGGAAGCCCCAGGAAAGCTGAGCGGGCAGTTCCTCCTGTAGTTCACACACCTTTTCAAAGTCAAGGTCAATTCTCTTCCACTTATTTCCTTATTCCCTCACTTAGCAAGTGTTTGCTACGGGTTTTTCCGTTGCCAAGATTTGTGACAGTTGCTCCTGCTTTTTGTTCTAATTTTTACTATTGTTTTAGAGACAAGGGTTTCCACTGGAGCTCAAGCTGGCCAAGAACTTACCTTTGTAGCCCAAACAGGCTTTGATCCTTCTACCTCAGCCTCCTGAGTCCTGGGATAGGAGGTGTGGGCCAACATACCTAACCTGGTTTTCGTTATCTGTTTCTGTCTTGATGTATCTAGCACAGTTTAGGACTCTTGACTTCTCAACTAATTTAAAAAAAAATCTGTGTGCTAGAGCTTAATTTTTTTTTAAGATTTATTTATTATGTATACAACATTCTGCCTCCGTGTATGCCCGCACGCCAGAGGAGAGCGCCAGATCTCATTACAGATGGTTGTGAGCCATCATGTGGTTGCTGGGAATTGAACTCAGGACCTCTGGAAGAGCAGCCAGTGCTCTTAACCACTGAGCCATCTCTCCAGCCCGCTAGAGCTTAATTTAAAAGCTCTTAAATCCAGTGGCCATTTAGGCTCAGACAGGACCCTGCTCTGTGACCTCCATATGGTCTTCATGGTTCCAGGTAAGATTCTGAATAGTTCATTCCTCTCCAAACTCTGAGGGCTTTTCTCCTCTATGCTTAAGCATGCAGGAAACTGAGTCTTGTGTGAGACACTCCTCTAAGACATTATAAGCATAAGGCAGATCTTGTGTCTTGGGAAATAGAGCTGCTGGGGTTTTGTTTATTTGTTTTGTTTTTTTGTTGGTTTCTTTAGTTCAGGGAAGAGTCATTATCCATGTTTTAGATGAACCTGTGTTTCCTCACACCCTCTATTGTCGTCAGCTTATGAATCGATCGATTGCCTTGGCGAAGGAGTTGGCAGAGGAAAGATCACACCAGTCATTACCACAGCGCAGAAAAACATTAATGGACAGCAGCTACAAACGACCATTGAGTTGTGGCTGTAATATCACCTTGTCATCTGTGTGTGAGAACTGAGGGACATTTCTGAACACTAATTACATTGTAACCAAAGGCCTGCTTGGAATTAGGAGAGTGAGTGTTGGGTGCTCTTACGGCATTCAGCTTAAAATGCAGGCCATTGCAGCCCAAGTTCTTTATTACCGTAGTAATTAACATTAATTTGCTATATATCATTGTATAAGAGAAAAGCTTCCCAAAATCTAACCCTAAGACAAGTACACATTTTAAAAGAAAATTCAGTCTAAAATTATAAATAGGCACATTTACCTCTGCTGCTGAAATAAAAAACAGTGCTGGGAACTCCTTCAGCTTGTCAGTTAGTAAGAACATGTGAGCCTCTTAAACACTTGGTTAGACACCTGCCTCAGCTCTGGATGGGCGGCTGGCTCCCGGGAGGTGCTTGGGAAACGGAAGACTGGCAACACAGGTGAGAGAGCTTATCTAGATTTAACCCTATGTAGAAACAACGGAAAATCCTGGTATCGTTATGGAATGAGTTGCTTTTCTTGTCACCATATAATTTCAATATTACTCTAACAAGGAAAGAGAACAAATTGCTGAAACCATGTAGTACATTGCAAACACTTGTGTGCCGCGAGGATTCCTCATGCTTGCAATCACCAGTGTGTTAGGCTGAGACCGTATTTCTCAATGTTTCCCTCCTGACATGTCACTCGACATTGATAGCCACTACTGGTGACAGCAATGAGCAATAAAGGGGGTGGAGATGCAGAATGATTCAGCGCTGATGACCTGAGATAATTCAAGTTCATTCTTGTTTCTTTTCTTCTTTTTTATTACTTGTTGCCTGCACCCACACACAAATTACCTTATTATCTAAGCTATGTGATTTTTCTCTATTGAAACAACCCAAAAGAAAAATTGATAGTTTAAGAAAAATTGTAAGTAACTTTAAAAACCTAAGCCCCTCCCCACAAAAAAATTTAAGTAAATTAAGCCATATCTGTTAGGATGATTTTTAATGAAAGAAACAGAAAAATGTAACTAGTAGGAGCTGCAATAATAGAGGGTTCTTCTTCTATTTGATAAGATGTTTTGAGATAGGGCCTAGGGATTTGTAATTCACTGAAGTGACAAGATCATCTGGGCCCAGTTGTTACTATTTTTCTGCTCTTCTGTCTTTACACTGTGGACTGGGGCTCCCAGCATGGCCACAAGATGGCTGCAGCAGCTTCGAGCACCAGCCCACTGTTTCCTCATCAGACAAATTCCAGAGGCAGAAAAAGATCTTTTCCTTGTGTTTCTTGTTTAAGAATTAAGAGTTTCTCACACAATCCACCTGCTCTGTCTCTTCTTGTCTGGAAAAACAAGCTGTCTTCCTGCTCCTCAGCCAACCACTAACAAGAAGAAGAACACTATAACATGAAAGATGAAGGCTACATAAAGTCACACCGCTAGGGCCTCCCGGAAGCCCAGGACTACCGAACAAAAACACAGATAGGAAAGCAGGCTACCACGAGCAGGAGGCAGGTGTTAGAAATGAAGCTCCCAAGGGCTGTGGGGATGCCTCAGCCAGAAAATTGCTTGCCCTGCAAGTTTGAGTTCAAGCCACAGCATGTACTTAAAAGCCCCATGTGATGAACTCACTCCCAATCCCAGTGCTGCAGAGACAGACACAGGTCTCAGGTGGACAGCTCCCAAAGAACAGTTTCTGACTTTGACCTCTGGCCTCCACGTTTGCCTGCACATGTAGGACACACACCACCACCACCACCACCACCACCACCACCACCACCAGCAGCAGCAGCAACAACAACAACAATAACAAATGAAACTTCTGTAAATCTTATGGTAGGAGATGTTGATGTCATGCCAAAGGCAGGATATATCACATACACCTATTTATTTCAATGACACAAAACAAAAGCAATCTTTCAAAAACTAAGCAGAAAGACTAAAGTACACCAAGAATGTTAGCAGCAGAGATTCCTAAGAAATAGACTCAGGCTCACCCCTCTCTTCTCTTCTCTTCTCTTCTCTTCTTTTCTTTTTTTTTTTAACTCTCTCTCAAAAATCATGTTTGTTTTTTCTTTGTCTTAAAGAAAAATGTAATAATACACAATATTTTAAACTTCAAAATAAAGCCTTAATGTGCTGCATGTCTTTGTTCTTTATCTCTGTTTGTTGCCTCTGACGTGGTGGTCCCTGCTTGTCTTTTTCACTCAC